CAAGATAGAATTCGAGTCATGGTAGTGGGAGCGGGGAGGAAACCTTTAGGAACTAGAGGAAGGTTGTATTTCTTATCATTGTTACATCGCACCGTGACTGGCTCATCGAGGACGGAGCTCTTTTAAGACTGATCTGTATGGGATTGAATTGACAGCGGCAACTCGAAGGATTAGATGGAAAGTGTGGGGCCCTGTGGGTTATGTTGATGAGGGAGAAACAATGCAGGAAAGGAGAGAGAGAAAAAAGGCTGCACGATGCAAAGGCCACAGAAGTGTGCACGCAGAAATTGTTGAGTTGATGGGTACTCTGCTGTGCTATATTACCAATAGCAACAATAAAACGTTAAAAACTAACTCCATGAAGGTTGTACAACATTGTTCATGTAATGAAAGCCATTGAATTGCATACTCAAAAGTGGTGAAAATGGAACGTTTTGCACGTGTGCACATGGCCTCACTCACTGCCATCGCGTCAATGCACTCACAGTGACCCCATCGGGCCGGGTAGAACTGCCCTGTCAGTTTCTGAGCCTGTAACTCTTTATAGGACTACAAAGCCCCATCTTGCTCTCTCAGAGCTGCAGGTAGTTTTGTACTTTGAACCTTGTAGATCGCAACCCTACGTGTAACCACTACGCCACCTGGGCTCCTTGATGCACACACGTACACTGGTATCTAGCTTTTCCACACTTTTAGCTCAGTGACACTTACTGTGTTCATCATGGTGCTCAACCGTCACCCTGGTCCATTCCCACGCTATCGGTGTATGATAAGGTGACCAGATTTTAACGTTGGTAAAGCAGGACACCATTGATAAAATTAATATCCTGGCGAAAGAGCCACATGGCAGCCGAAAACCGTATACCCTAGCTTGTCATGCATTCTTTCCAAAAATCGGGACTTTTTAAAAATGCCGTGGGACGTGGGAAAAATTGTTAAAAATCGGGACTGTCGGCGGGACGTCTGGTCACCTTAAAGCCACCACTCTTAGCTCTGCCCCTGTCCCTTCACACACTTTTCTCCTGCTCCCTGGTCCACTTGACAGGGCATCGGGGACCCTGCCCCACCTTCGACGCTCGCTCACCATGTCGGTGCCCAGGTCGATGCAGAGGATGGTTATGGTCCCCAAAGGCAGAGGAATGCTGAGGAGGATGAAGATCAAGAAGGGCGTGATCTCAGGGATGTTGCTGGTCAGGGTGTACGCGATGGATTTCTTCAGGTTGTCGAAGATGAGGCGGCCTGGGGAGCAGAGTCAACCTCCCGTGAGGAACCCCGTGGGATGCACTTCCCACAAACTGGTTTTAGACGGGGTCACGGAAGGGTTTGGAGTCCCTGGATCTTGGTCCGCCCCTTTTCACTTCTAAAGTGTGTGGTCATTCCTCAGCGCCATGGTTTATTAGCATGTCATGTCGGTGTAATCTTTGTTCTTACGGTCATCATGGCTCCTGCTAGCTGACCTCCGACTGCAGAGCAGGATGGGTCAAGTCAACCCTGAGGTGTCTGAGCATGTCGGTATTACAGCTCTTAAAAGTATAAGGTAGAAATGGAAAGGACTTGGACTTGGGACAGACTTGGGTTAAAATCCTGTTTTCTGTTCCATGATGATGTTTCCTAAAATCAGAAGGCTTCCCTGCTTTATCATTTATCTTCTCGTAACCTGCTGTGCAATTTACTCCTCTGACTTTCTGTCTCATCCCACTAGGAATTAAGTGTCCTGAGGGGAGGGGATTTACATCTCTCTCTACCGAATCCTGAGCACTATATCCTTAGCAGCTAGAGCAGTGGTTCTCAACCTGTGGGTCTTAACCCCTTTTGGGGGTCGAACGACCCTTTCACAGGGGTTGCCCGATTCATAACAGTAGCAAAACGACAATTATGAAGTAGCAACGAAAATAATGTTAAGGTTGGGAGGTCACCACACACGAGGAACTATATTATAGGGTTGTGGTATTAGGAAGGTTGAGAACCAGTGATCTAGAACATAGTTGGTACTCAAAATAATTGATTCAATCAAACCTACTAAGCTTCCAGAATCATAGTCGGCCTCCATGAAAGGTGATCTTTCTGGTAACGTGTGTTATTAAGAGAGCTCCCAGTGGAAGGCAGGGAGCCTGCGATGTGGAACTCTGGGTTTCTTCTGGGGGAAGAGAGCACTTGGGTGGGCCCCTGTTGACAGTGCGTGGCTCATGCTCCGGTTGATCTCGATGTGTCACCACCGTTAGACAGCAGGCTCCTAGGGACCTTCGTAAGGGTGACCAAGGGAACACGGAGTCATTCCAGCAGTGTGGCTATCTCTTTGAACTTGTGGTAGAGCCACTCCACGTGGACCTCTCAGGGGAGAAAGAAGGTGCTAGACCAGAGTCCCCTGTCTCCCTAGTGAATCTGGATTCTCCTCAGCTATCACGGAAAGGGGTTCTAAGTGCCAGTGGAATCCATTTGAACATCTTTATCTTGTGTTGGCTTCTCCTCGTCTGTATAGGATCATGGAGGTTGGACATGGGACACCAGGACTAAGACTGATGGCGACCAACTCCCACTAGAGCCTAAGGGTCAAGCCCCAACCCAGTGCGCACTGCCTCCTCACCCTCCTCCACGCCCGTGACGATGGAGGCGAAGTTGTCGTCCAGCAGGATCATGTCGGCCGCCTGCTTGGAGACGTCCGAGCCGGCGATGCCCATGGCAATGCCAATGTCGGCCTTCTTCAGCGCAGGGGAGTCGTTCACCCCGTCACCCGTCACCGCCACGATGGCGCCCTGGGGAAGCCCGGACGGAGCTCGTGAGGTCGTGCACACCAGACCGCCTGGTTTTAGCATTACAGGCCTGCTCTAGGGGCCTTGCTCCCTCCTCCTCCTCCTCAGCCTGAGAGAAAAGTCTCGGGAGCCCTCAGATGGAAGCCCGCAGACCCGCTCTGGTCTTTTCTGAGCGAGCCCACTCGTTGGTCTGCTCGACTGAGGGCCGGGCCGTGGCACGGGGTTTCTGCCAGTTTCCCCAGAGTCCTGCACCTCCTCACCTGCCTCTGGCAGCCCTCCACGATGATCAGCTTCTGCTGTGGGGACGTCCGGGCAAACACGATCTCCGTGTGGTTCTTCAGGAGGTCGTCCAGCTCCTCCGAAGTCATGTCCTTCAGGTCTGAGCCGTGCACCACGACCGCTTTCACAGTCCTGACGGAGAGAATCGCAGGAGCATGGAAAGTTCTGAGCATGGGAAATTCACTGGGGGCCGGGTGCCCTCGAACCAATCTTTACTATAACCTTTGGTTCTTCCTTTCAACTCCATCTCCTCCGTTGTCCCAGCCTTATGTTGTCCCCCAATCAGCACATTCTAGCCCTACCCTTTTCTCCCAACCGTCCCTTCCCTTTCTCGACCTCTTTCTTTCTCTGTCCCACCTTCTTCTGAAAACCTGGAAGTTTTCCTATTAGGGCCTAATATAGGCTTTACTTTGTAATATGTTCACTCTGCACAAGCACGTCCTACCCATCCCAGGGACCCGCAAGAGCTTTAGTAGGTGGGCCATGGGAGGGGCAGGCTAGGGGTGGAGACAAAGCTGTCAGCCCTGAGTGTCATGGGGGTCCCACCTGGGGTTGATCTTTGTGACAGAGATCTGGAGCCGGGCGGCCATGTCCTCTATTGTCTCAGTGCCTTCTGAGATGATGCCCACGCCCTTGGCAATGGCCTTGGCGGTGATGGGGTGATCTCCCGTGACCATGATCACCTGGATTGAGGAGGGGAGGGCAGAGGAGGAGCGTCATCTTCAGGGAAGCCCTGGCTCCATCAGATTCTCCTCTATCAATGAATGCAGCGGTGTATCCATTCAGCAACAGACCCCAAATCCTGGCCCACGACTGCTTGTCAGGACCATCACACCAGAAAACCCAAGTCAGATTGGGGTCCCAAATTTCCCAGGGATCAGTTAGGGATCGGTGTGTTTTATTATAGTCACAATTTCATGTAATCTCTCTAAAGCTATTCTACTCTCGTACGATCCAAGACAAAAACACCTACACACAGAGCAAGTGGCAATACAGGAATGTCTGGAAAATCCCATCTGCCTTCCATCTTTCTAACAAAATGTTATCCAGACCCTTCAATCGACTTCTCTCTTCCCTCACCTTGACCCTAGGGTTCAAACCAGTTTCGGAACACCTAGTACCAGCCTGAGACCTGTCCTGTGCTTACCCAAGGATTAGGTGCCTGTGCCCCGAAACTTTGTACCCATCCCTCCCATGAGACAGCACCTCTCACTTCTCTGTGAGCTGAGTAGGGAGCTCTCTTCCCCTGCAGACTGAGAGCCCTGGAAGGGCAGGGTCCAAGCCTATGAGTCTTTGCTCAGTCTGTCCTCAGACAGATGGCTGCCACTCAATTGTGCTTCCAACCTCCCCAGTGGCACTATAGAGGGAAATCCTGATGGCCGACTTCTGTTAAGCTTCTTAGCTCACTGCCATTGAGTCCATGCTCACTCATAGGGACCTCCTACGGCAGTAGATCTCAACCTGTGGGTTGCAGCCCCTTTGGGGGGTCAAGCAACCTTTTCACAGGGGTAGCCCATTTTATAACAGTATCAAAATGACAGTTATGAAGGAGCAACAAAAATAATGTTATGGTTGTGGGTCACTACCACATGAGGAACTGTGTGAAAGGGTTGTGGCACTAGGAAGGTTGAGAACCACTGTTCTATGGGTGTCTGAGACTGTAATCATTTATGGGAGTAGAAAACCCAGTCTTTCTCCAGAGGAGCTGCTGCTGGTTTTGAATTGCCAGCCATGCAGATCACTGCCCAACTCGTAACCACCATACCACCAGGACTCCTTTGTTAGGTTTACAGCTAAGGAACCCCTGGGGTCCCTCTTCAACAAGTGGTGCTGGAAAAAATGGAGATCCACCTGCAGAAAAATGAAGCAAGACCCTTATCTCACTCCATGCACAAGAATAAACTCAAGGTGGATCACAGACCTCAAGGTAAAACCCCAAACTATGGAAATCGATTTGGCAATATCTAAAACAGGTGGAAATTGAGCTACCATATGACCCAGCATTCCCCTTACTGGGCACATACCCAGAAGAGGCAAGAAACAAACCACGACCAGTCATCTGTGCTCCAATGTTCATCGCGGCACAGTTCACAGTTGCAAGGAGTTGGAAACAACCCAAATTTCCATCAACAGACGAATGGATTAAAAAACTGTGGTACATACATACAATGGAGTACTATGCATCCCTAAAAAGCAGTGATGAACGCATGAAGCACATAACCGCATGGGAAGAACTGGAGGAAATTATGCTAAGTGAAGTAAGCCAAGCACAAAAGGACAAGTACAACACGAGTCTGCCGAGGTAAACTTAAAAAAAAAATGCAAAAAGGGCATAGGGAAAAATCTACTATATACTGTACAAACATTCCTGGGGTGAGGTCCAAGTAGTATGGCAGGGCCAGACCAAATCAAGGGATGCATATGGTAGCCAACTAAAAAGGAGGTGGTGGGGGGAAGGAAAAAAATGGGTAGTGGGGGAACAGGGCACTAACCCACCCAAGGGGAGGGTATTGTTTATATCTCCACAGAGAAAGAGGGACCAGACTTCAACCAAGTGCTCCAAGATGTGAATGCAGCATACCGGCATGAAGCAGGGAACCAGTAGAGAGGTCTTAGGGGCTGGCCCCAACTCCAACTTATGTGGACAGCCCCCCTTTCCCCCAAAAGAAATCAATTCAGAGAACAGCACTGAAACTACAGCTCAGGGAGAGGGGCATGTCTGATCAGAGTACACAGGAGAAAATGAAGAGGGAGGAAGAGAGAGTGGAGCACTTTCTGGCTCACCAAGCCTTGAGGACGATATCCCTGCTCAGAGCAGCCAATCCACAGAGA